CAACTGATTGACATTATATATATAGAATTTACGAAAATTCAAGAGTAGCTTTCACTCATTTGGAGCGGCAGCTTTTCCTTATGAGAGTGTTCAACCATGACAAGACTGTGAAGGGTAGTAAATAAGCTAAAGCCTCTGTAGCTATCATTTGGGGATTGATGAAGTTCTACCTCACAAAATTCGAAAGTACAGATAGTATCCAATACACAAGGGGTCTCATCACATGCAGTATGTCTAATGCATAACCTAGATGAACAAAATGCAGTATGCGTGATGTGTCCATAAAACTTTAAAAGTTGCAAGTCTGGACACAGACTGTTGCAACAGTTTATGCAACTGCACAGGTCAGACAATACAAATTCCAAGCGAATTTCGCAAGGAATCAAACCTTTGTGCATCTAGGGGTTTATTAAAGATGTCAGCAAGTTGTTTCTCCGTTGTGACATACTCTAATGAGACAGTTCCTTCCTCTACTAGATTTCTAATGAAATGGTAGCGAATTTCAATATGCTTAGTTCGAGAGTGCTGTACTGGATTCTTGGAAATGTTAATTGCACTCATATTGTCACAATAAATATGCAATAAATCTTGACTAATACCATAATCACATACCATTTGTTTCATCCATAAGAGTTGAGCATAGCAGCTACCTGTAGCGATATATTCGGATTCGGCAGTGGAAAGTGAGATGCTATTCTGCTTTTTGCTGTCCCAAGAGACGAGATTATTGCCAAGATAGAAACATCCTCCCGTCGTGCTTTTTCGATCGTCTGCATCACCTGCCCAATCAGCATCGCTAAAACCTCTGGTTTGAATTCCTCCTTCGATCGGACCAATGACTTGATCCACTGGATGATTCTTCTTGACTCTTTTTGAGGGTTCCCTGTGAGTTTGGTCATCCAATTCGAGAGGGCTGACTTCAGCTTCATCTCCTGTTTCAGAATCAGCGTCACTTTCTTCTGAAATGGTAGAGGTTGCATCAACTGTTGGAACTGTTGGTGTGACACTGGAGCTGTTATATGATTCCTTTGCTGGTTCTTCTTCCAGTGGACCTTGATCACTTCTAGCATCGAATTTCCCAAGTTGTTCACCCTTTTTCCCGTTTCCAAAGGTAACAGCTCCACCGGTGATTTGTTGGTAGTTTTTCACAAACTCTTTAACACCGGTCATATGTCGTGAACAGCCACTGTCAAAATACCAATCATTAGCAGTACTTGCTTTTAAAGGAGTAATGGCAGATAAACATTTAAAAGTGGACTTTTCAACCCAAATTTTTTGCTGAGGCCTATTTGAAATATCAATTTTATTTTTGGGTTTTTGAGAGGGTGAAGGAAAGTAATCAGCCCTAGCAGAGTACAGAGAACGAGCCACTAGTTTTTTCACAAGTTTTAAATATTTGAAACATCTAGGACGTATGTGACCTGGATTTTGACAGAAAAAACAAGTGGGAATAAACCTTTTCTTTGAATGGTGCTTCGTTGCCTCAACAGTTGCAACTGTTTGTGCGACAGAAACCTGTTTAACAAAGTTGATTTTTCTGTTTTGATCTTCCTTTCGCTTTAGATCAACTTTGGCTAGCTGACTTCCTCCTATGCCTAGACGATTATAGTTTGGCTTATTGTTGTTTAAGATTTCATCTAAATTACCTTTACCCATGTTCAATTTAGCAATAGCTTCTTGAGTTTGAGTAAGTTTAGCCTGCAAACTATTTTTCTCTTGATCACTAGATATGACCCTCTCCTCAAGAGTAGAAATTCTTACCTTTAGTGTCTTGTTTTCTTCTATAAGCACAAGCTTCTCCTTTTCTAGGAAGTTATTTACCTTAACGACGTCGAGCCATTTTTGGTACATTTTTTCATATACCTCCTTTACTTCATCCAAGGTTGGTTCTTCCTCATCACTGCTGCTGTTCGGATCCTCTGCAAAAGAAGAATTTTCGTTTAGATTTTTGTCATAATCAGAACACATATTTTCATACCTGGATTCTGTTTCACAGTCTGTTGCAACAGTTGAAGCAACAGTTGATTCTGAGCTGTCCAGAGGAACTTTGCTGCTGAATGCTACAAAGTTAGTGACTTGATTGTTGTTTCCTTGGTCATCATCAGATTCTTCTTCATCGCTCCAACCAGTAGTAAGTGACATTTTCTTCTTTTTCTTCAGGGTGTTTGCGCATTCTGATTGAATGTGACCAAAGCCTTCGCATTCTCGACATTGTATTCTTCTTGGTTTTGACTCCTCTGAGTTATCTTGATTTGAATTTCTCCTAGAATTTTGAAAATTCACGGGTTTCCCTGTGCTTGGGAGATTTCCCCTTTTTTCGATCTTTTTGAGAAATTTCCCAAAATTTTTCGATAGTAGTGCCAAGGATTCTTCAACTGTTTGCTCATCTTCTTGAGTTGACGAATTTTGGGGCGTTGCATATGATGTTTCTGCTTGAAAGGCTATCTTCTTTTCTCTATACTTTTCACGATGATTTTCACCATGATTGAGTTCTTGTGCTAGAAGTTTCCCCATGAGTTCGTCTAGTTTGAGCGTGTCAACGTCTCTGACTTCTTCAATGGCAGCAATTCGGTAAGCAAATCTTTCAGGTAATGAGCGCATCGCTTTTCTCACAAGTTTGCTTTCCGAATAGGGTTCACCGAGTGCGTATGATTCATTGGAGATATCACATAGTTTAGCATGGAAGTCAGTGATCGTCTCATTCTCCTCCATCTTCAAATTTTCGAATTTGGTGGCCAACATTTGTAACTTGGATGTCCTTACAGTTGACGTTCCTTCGTATGTGACTTGAAGAATTTCCCAAGCTCTTTTTGCAGATTCACAAGACGCTATTAGTTTGAATTGATTATCATCAACACCACTAAATATTGCGTTTAGGGCCCTTGAGTTGTAGTTTGCGAGTAGTATCTCTCCATCATTCCAATCTGCTTCTGGTTTGAATACTTCCACTTTGTCTTCTCCTTTGACCATGGGAGGTGTCCAACCAGTTATGATGGCGCGCCATGCTCTCTCATCTATGGATTTGATAAACATCTTCATTTTTGATTTCCAGTATGAGTAGTTGGAGCCGATTAGGAGAGGTGGACGAGTAGTTGAAGATCCTTCTCGTTGAGTATTCATATCTGCACAAAATAAGAGTAATCAGTTCCCAAAATCTCACTAGATGTATTTAGTGACAGGCTCTTGATGCCAATTGTTAGAATTATTTTGTGCAAATTAATTATAAATTTGTGTCCGATAAATTCCAGATTCAGTTTTAGCTACTGTTCTACTGTTTTACGAAGAGTTGCAACAGTTAATGGAACAGTAATAAAAAGACACAAATTTTAAAGTGGTTCGGATACAATTGTACCCTACATCCACGGGGACCTGCAAATGAAATTCACTAATTTTTAGTTTTACGAATACAGTAATAGGACTTAATCGAAAATGCAAAGACTCCCTCTTTGTCGACGCCGTTCTTGTATCCTACGCTGAATTGTGAGTCTTCACTTTGCAGCACGTCCCTTTCCGCACGGTTGAAATTCCTTCAACGCTGAGTCCCTCAGTCGGCGGATCGACCTCCTCCCGAGATCTTCTGAGTTCTCCTCCCGAAGAACCGATCTTCTTTTCGCGTGAAAGAAGCAAATCTTTTGCTGTGTTTTTCTTCTCGAATAAGATCACAACTCAGGAGCAGCAACGTAAGAGCAGAAAAAGTTTTTCTCTCAAATAAAAGGGACGGTCTTCAATTACGTTGATGCTGCCCTTCTTATACTTCCTTAGGTGAATTAGTAGAGCCCTACACAAAAGTGGAGCCCATTAGGTTATTTTATCTCACGTAAGAAAAAAAGAGTTGTATAACAAAGGAAATTCTTTTCCAAATAAAATTCCTTGTTAAACAAAACACTTAGGCAATTAAATAAATTAATGACAAAATAAGAGTTTAAAGAACTAAGGAAACTTCCCTAGTTTTTATACACGGTTTTCACACACGTGTTGAAAACCCGAAATTAGAATCCTCTCGGATTCTAACAATCTCCCCCTTTGTCATCTATTTATTATAATCAAGTCCTCCCCCTTGATCAAATACCTGACAAAAACATTAGACTGCATAATAGAGTAACCGTTAGAACAGTTCAAAACAAAACATCAGTCAAAAGAAGAACAGAGTTAAGCCTAGCAGACTTTTAGAGGCCGTTGTTCAGAAAATGAATTCGACAACCACAAAAAAACTAAAAAACAACTAATCCAGAATATCTTCATCATCAACGAACAACTCCTCGTCATCATTCGTATCAACTTCAGCTGTTGTACCATCAACAGTTGGAACAGTTGGAGCAACGACAGTTGGATCAGTAGTAGTTTTCAGTAGACGTGCAAATTTTTTTTGTTTGGGGGGCAAAGTGCAAAACGGTCATTAGTTTAGGGGGCAAACTGCTTTTTACTCTATTATTTAATTACTCTTAAATGCTACTACACTAGTGTGTAGTTGGAGGTTGACGTACGATTCAATAATAAGCTGGTGCAGATGCAGACTAATTGTTTTTCAACTCGATAGGTGAAATTAAAGCTGACTCTATGTTGTTTTCATTTATACCAATTAATCGGTACTTCTTGTAATCAAACAATTAATTACGTACCCTAATTAATCGAACCATAATTAATCACATTTAAAAATTATTAATACTATAAGATCATCACGGACAACTCAAGAACAATCTAAGTCACGGGCCATTCTATTGAAATGAAAAAAATAGGATGAATAGCAAATAATATATAAAGATTCAATCAATCAATCAATCACGGGTTCCAATATAACCATTATTTTATTTCAACAAATTAAATCTCGATCTGGTTACAGTTCGTTACACCCATATAAGACAAGCCTCTTGCACTAGAATTTTAAATAATATTTATTAACCTATATATGGTACAAGGTATGGGAGTGCTATTTGATAGTATATTTAATTTTTTTTTTAAAATTGCATAAATGCCCAAATAATTTCCGGCAAAATAGCAATAAATTTCAACCAACAAAATTTAGTTTTCTAACTCCCACGAACCCCATTCTCATTGCCTATAGTTCTTCTTACCTTATCCCCATTAATTAATATACAGCATGTCACAAGACAACCATATATTACATATATATATACACACATACAAAGCATAGGCCATCTCTCTAACTCTCTCTCTCTCTCTCTAGTTTCTCTCTCTAGTCTCTCTCTCTCTAGATTGCAAGAAAATTAAAATGGAGTGTTCGAAGGTGGTGCCGTGCATTTTAGCAGTAGTAATGTTGTGGGGTAGTTTAGCAACGTGCGATGTAGACAAGGACAAGGAAAAATGCGCCAACGACTTGGTTGGACTTGCCACGTGTCTCCCGTACGTGAGCGGTGAAGCCAAGGCACCTCCGGTTGACTGCTGCACTGGCCTCAAGCAAATTTTGCAGAAAAGCCCCCAGTGCATCTGCTTGTTAGTAAAAGACCGAAATGACCCTACCCTCGGCCTTCAGATCAACGCCACCCTCGCCCTCGGCCTCCCCTCTCAGTGCCATGCACCCGCCAACATCTCTGCTTGTCCCGGTACGTAATTAATTCATTAATTGAGGGCATTTTAGTAATTACCCAAAATATTCACAAAATAGTAGTTTATATTACTATGGTTAATTAAATTTTTTTTAATTATTAATGGATACAGCTTTGCTGCATTTACCACCAAATTCACCGGATGCCAAGGTGTTTGAGGACTTTGTAAACAGTGCCAATAAAAGCAATGCTACTTCAACTAGTATTGCACCTGTTCCCGGTAACGAAACATATTTATATGTATTCAGATTATTGCATTTGGATTAAAGATTTTTTAATTAAGATTAATACCAAATTTGTAATAATTTTATTTAATTAATTAAAGGGAGTCCATCAGGTGGGATGCCGACAACAACGGTAACAACTGCTGCTAATCAGAAAAGTGGTGATGGAGGAAACAAGAACAAATTTTTAAACATTGAAATGATTTTAGGACTCATATTCACAATTATGGTGGTACTTGATAAAATACCCAATCTTTGATTTATTTCAATTGTATTTTCATTTTTATTTTCATTTTTTTGTATTAATTAATTAGTATTTTCTTTTGTATGAGTACTACTACTAAAAATTTGTTTGTATGTTCATGATTTCTAGAGAGAGAGAGAGGATGCTATTAATAATGTTCACATGCATGTATGTCTGAATTAATGTAGTGGCTGCTTATCTTTAATTTGTCTCCATTTTGACACATTGCTGTTATACTTACTGTTATAGGACCACCTATTTATAGATCATCATTTTTCAAATAAACATTTATTGTCCATCGGTGCATAATACGGGTGGAAATCAGAATGGAATTTCTGAATTCTATCAATTCCGATCTATAAATGTCTGAATACGGAACCTTAACCGATTTCCAATTCTTCCGAATTTATTTGGAATGGAATCGGAATTGTAAATAAAATTATCGGAAATTTCGATTTCCCGATCCGATTATAGTTTCAACTATTTCAATTGTTTTTCAAAATGCATAATGTAGTTTCGAATAATTCCACCGATTTCGAGGCATTCCGAAACCGGAATGAAATTTTGCATTCCGATTGTTTTGGAACAAAAAACAAAACCCTTTTTTTACTTCCGAAAAAAATGAATTTTTTTTCGAAAAAAGTCATTTGCGATCCATTCCATCCGATTTCCACCCCTACTGCATATGTAATACTACATAACATTTACATGCCTAGGTGGGCTTGAATCGGCCCAATCAAATACCCGGGCTATAATGAAGCGGCCCAATAAAATACCCGGGCTATAATTTAACGGCCCAATACATTATATTTGTAGCCCAATAAATTAAATAAAAAACTCGTTTTAACTAAATTAATTAAAATAATTATCTTACCAAATTTGCATCCCTCCAAGCGGGTCGGTCAATAATGGGTCAAACTCGAAGACAAAAACAAATAAAATTCAACCCCACGTTGCACAAAATTTCAAAACCCTAACAATTTCCAAGAAATTTCTTAATGCCTCAAACAAATTCCTTCTCATCTTTGTTTCCACAAAATCCAAAAAAATAATTAATTAAAAAAACTCAATAATCACATTATAAAATTAAATAATTAATAATTATTAATTACAATCCACACAGCCCTTTAATTTGACTATAACTCTGATAAAATTTTCATCAAAGAAAAAATCAATCAATGGCGAAGCTCAACTATCTACTCGTTATCTTCCCTCTTCTAATCCTCAGCGCATCATCCCAATCACCGCCGCCCACCGCCGCACCAACTCCGGCGCCGACGGTGTACGAAATCCTCCCAAAATACGGCCTACCCAGCGGCTTGTTACCCGATTCGGTGACCAACTACACACTGACAGAAGATGGTGATTTTGAGGTGACTCTAGCGAAACCCTGCTACATAGAGTTCGATTACACCGTTTACTACGAGAAATCGATTTCTGGGAAGCTGAGTATTGGGTCGATCACTAATTTGAAGGGGATTCAGGTGCAAAGATTCTTCTTTTTGTGGTTCGATGTTGATGAGATCAAAGTCGATTTGCCCCCTTCTGATAGTATTTACTTCACTGTGGGATTATTAACAAACGACTCGATCTTAACAACTCGATCTTGATCAGTTTCTCACTGTTCGTTCTTGCAAGGACAAAGCTGTTTCTATGAGACAGATTGTTCAGGTATTTGTCTCTTTCTTCAATTGTCTTATTTTTGTATCTACTTGTTATTTTTTTTATTTTGTCTTGTGGATTGTTTTATTTGTGCATTGTGATTAATTTAGGATGATTGTCTGATTTAGTAAAGGTAATGAAACCCCGAAAACCCGAAATATGTTAGGCTGAGTTGAACAGATGTGTCTTGTTTTATGTGTGTGTGTGTGTGTGTGTGTGTGTGTGTGTGTGTGTGTGTGTGAGACTTGATGTGCTGGAAGTATTTTAAATTTGGGAGGATATTCAAAAGTGTTAAGACTAACCGTTTTCTTGGAGAAGTGATTCATGATTATATTAGACAATGTAATACGAGAAATTGCGTTGGTAAATGGTAAATTGGACGATGATTTAAGAATCCGAAAGAGGAAACGAAGATTTTGCTTTCTAATGAGTGAGTTTCTTGTGTGTGTGTGTAAGTGGTGAATTTTGCTTTCTAATGTGTTTATCTGCAGAGTATGGCTGATTTAGTGATGTGGTTCGATTAGTTGATCCGTGCTTGCATTTTATTATTTATCTGTATTCATGTTTCAACTTAAAATCGACTGTCAAAAGGCTCAAAGTTATTACATGAACTCGTAATTAATTAATCCTATGTCAATACAATGTTTATATATCCTTGTAAATCGACTTGATACATCTCTCGTTGTTTTAATTTGCAGGTTCCAACTCTAGTGGATGATGATATCTCAATGCTTGTAACGGAGTAGAGCAATTTTATAGATAATTTTGGTCTGTCTAATTACAACCAGAATTCGTCAGATGTGGTAGGCATAGTATATATATATAGCTTATTATTATTATTATTAGACTGAACTTCAATTATAACTAAGGCGCACTCGAACGTGAAAAAGAGACAAACATTGTACGAATATGAGTACATTATGAATTAATCGGAACTATTTGTTGTTAAAATCCGTGTACGTTATTACTTGTAACTCGGGAATATGAATTAAAATGTATGTGGCTACTACAGTACACACTGGATCAACGATCGATCTGCAGACAGAGGAGTTATTCTTTCACGATCGTTACGTTGCATAATAGCTTTGACCTCAGAATTGTTGATTAATATCTTGACCAAGTTGTTCTGACTCCATTTGTAGACCACATCTCCACAACGGGTACGAAGCAAGTAGATAAAACAAGCTGTTTCAATTACCGCAACAAGAACAATGACCGCGTAAGGACAACCGATGACCGAGATATAATTACGATAGCAAACAAACCAACGCAACCTTCGTCTTCTGTTAATTCTCCACTTATTAACACATTGAGTAAAGCAATGTGATACAATATTCAGAGAGGGAGGGGTAGGGGCCTTTGCTGAGTTGGGCCTGGGCCAGAGAGAGAAAGAGAGGATAGGATGTGGGCTTGTGCCAATTCAGCCCAAATAACTTGCGCCTGTCCAAACAGCCTAGATTAAATATAGTACTAGAATTTTTTAAAATTTACGGTAATTAAATAATTTGCACGTAAGCACAATCATATATATTTTATGGGTGTGAATTTAGACCGGATGGTCTGTTTTAATAGAAAAATTGGATGCCATAGGATGATTCCATAATCGCTCTAACCTTCATTATAATTGCTTGATTTATTAAGAATTTAGACTTAAAAATACCACATGTCAAAAAAATAGTCGAATCCGATTTATATTAAATATAATAAACGTTTTGGAGTGTATTATACACGGTTTAAATAGCAATTAATCATAGAAAATCTGGTATACACTATACAGTATCCTATAATAAATAAACACAAATCAAATCAATCACAAGTAATATTTTAGGTTAATAGCAAAGAGGGCTATGACTAGGGGAAACATCAAACCTTTTTATCTTTTACATATTTCTTTATCATTTAAACTTATTTGTAAATAAGTATTACATTTTTTCCCAATTCAACTTCAATTTCATTATTTAACGATAATTTAGCTCAATTTCACTAATTAACACAAAATGTTGCCATTGGGTTAATTATATATTATTATATTACATAGGGTTAATTAACATACACCCCTCTCCATCCATCAATTGTGATATTGCCATTTGAAAATGCTCACTTGGCACAAATAAGTAAACACAAATTAAATCTAATCACAAGATAATATTTTAGAATTAAAGCAATGAGGGTTATCTCTAACATTAACTACCTAGTCAGTTATGCATTTGAATTAAAATCAACTAAACTTAGTCAACAGTAACTTTGATAACGACATACGGGCATTGTTTGAGTCTTTAGTTGTTGTCTTGTTGATATGCTATCTATGTACAGTTGCCATAAAAGAAAAAAAATACGCTCTATACTCTCTATTAAGCCTTTTGACAAGACCTGTGTCAGAGAATCAACACGCACAACAAGTTCTTTTAAATAAAAGATCCATCCATGGCGACAAACGGACGTGATGGTGCTGCTGCGGAGATGGAGGTGGGTGGCCGTGGCCGAGGACGAGCTCCGGCGGCGATGGAGGTTGGTGGCCAAGGACGAGCTCCTGAGGTTATGTGCACTTTGATGAATATGAACGTCAATGCCTCAAACGGCCGCATCGGGTACCAAATCCTTCGTTCACCTTCTTTGATATAGCAACAGGGGCCTTTGTTGTAGAGTCTGATACCCTTTGACATGCCCCACCACACGTATTGTTTGCAAATGCATGTAATCTTAAACATGCATGGATACTGATCTTATTGTAATTATCCAAATATAAATAGGGGATTCGTAATTTGATTATATATCAGATAGGTGGTTGTAATTTACTCAAAAAATAAATAAGACATTAGCATGAACTTCAAATCAGGTATCATTAGTTAGACAATGGTTCAATATGAAATACAATGAAAAATACACTATGAATTAAAATGGAAGTGACATAAGAGGGAAAAAGACAAACAAAATAAAACAAACTATAATTAATGATCCAATCAAGGGCAAATGATGTCAAAACTCGAAACACATAACAATAGGGCAGCGAAAACCATTGGCAACGGAGATAGACATGGCCATGAGCCGGTTCGGGCTGACCCGTAAAATATACGGTTCGCCGGGCCGGGCCAACCCGCCGATTCACTCTGGTTCCGTCTGGCCCAAATATATATATATATATATATATATATTAAATACTTGATGGATAAATTTAATTAAAAGAATTACTTTTAAATAGGAAAAAAATAAAAAGAAATAAATGAAATGACTTTAACTTAATTTTATAGGAAAAATTGAGATGTCAGGGTATTTTTCAAGGCCCGTTCACCGATCCGACGGTTCACGGTTCACATAATTCTAGAACTGTGCCCTTCCCGAGGAACACGAGCTGGTTCACGATTTTAGTACCAGTTCACAGTCA